ATAATTCAAGTAGACTTTAGCGTGTGAAAGCGAATCTCTGAAAGTTACTCTACCAGGAAACAGTACGAAGGGGAACCCTGAAATTCACCTGCATGTACTTCCACTCCGCGGATGAGTTTGCCAGTCTCATCACACAGTCGAAAATCGCCTCAAGAATCTCGTATGAGCACCATTCGATCCGTTTTGCTCTCTGGAACCTTCTTTTCATTGAAATTTGATAAAGAAATAGGAATTCAGAACAGAAACCTTTACTTATCTCGAGCAAAAAAAACCGGTTTGATTGTATTAACAAAAAGAATTGAAGTGATAATCAGCGATCACTTACCGTAACCTGTATATTCGGATAGCAGTATGAAAGTTCGTTCATCAATCGCCAGAACGTCTCGTCGGCGTTGCCATCGACTGCGACGCAGAACTGATTTTGGGGTTGGTAAATTGCCGAGAGCAGCATTATTACCTGAGCAGAGTTCGTCAGGTCTCAAGAATAGCAGTGGAAGCAGAGCATAGCAGTGGAAGCAGAGCATATTTTTCCATGAACGGCCCGTCTGGACGCGGCGCCGCGTTTTTCTCGTGGAAGCTTCACAAGGGAGGTCTTTCAGGTCGTGGCGCGCTTTTCGGAAATGATTTGTTGCATGTTGTAGAGGTCCGAATAAGGATCACAAAAATGGGTTTCATTTTTGCTATGCGTTTCTGGGTAGGTCAAAAACTGAGTGCAAAGTTTGCTGGGGAGAAGCGATTTTGAACCATTTTCGAGCTTTTCTATGTCTTAATGTTGTAAGCTAGGCAATTAGCCAGATGACGACCTTCCGTCGGACAACTGCCATCAAAACAATACAATTCAAAAGTAAAATAAAACGTACTTTGTTGGCAAGATCATGCTGAGGCAGCATTTGGGAGTTTCTTCAAGATGAATTTCTCGCAGCATTCCCAAACCCGCCAGGCCTGGGCCTTGAGGGTTGTCTCATGCCATGTTGGCGCCAAAGTGACCTACGACCCAATTTTAGAACCCGTTCAGGAATTCGTCAGTGCAGGGCCCATTTAATAACCCTTCTATATACAGACTTTCAGCAAAAATTTTCTCCTCGATGATGAGCGCTTAACAGCCCCTGCGTGCGGGTTGGCAACAATTCAGTGGAAGAATGCTCTTGCAGCAAGTCGGCGCTAGGCTGCGCCGTGCTTCAAAAATGACCGGGCTCGAAATGGGTGTCGTAAATCCAAAACCGAAAAAAACGTATAAAGTATCCGAAAAATGCAAAGAGTTAGTCGCCAAGGGGATCCGATCCAAGAACCTTCTTCTGCGTGATGAGCCGTTTTTGACCTCCCCAGAAACGCATAGCAAAAATGAAACCCATTTTTGTAAACCTTGCATGGACCCCTACAACAAGCAACAAACCATTTTTAAAAAACGCGCCACGACCTCAAAGACCTCCCTTGTTAGTCAATTTTATTGAATGAAATGAATGCTACGGTCGAATTGGTCCCCTCAAGAAATGGCGAGAGAGAGATGAAAATACGAAACTTATCTTCGTAACCATTTTAAGCTCGTCATGGCCCTCCAGTCCTCCGGAATATCGTCCAATTGTTGCCGATGCGTTTTCTCTGCAAGCTTTGGTGTTAAAATTTGACTTCCGGTAGTTTGACCTTCTGAAGATCGGATTTACATGCCCTTGCCGAAAACTGCCGTGCCGCGCGCGCTATAGGCGCACTAGGCTGACGACAGTTTTTCGCCATTTTTTCATGACTTGTGCCTCAAACTGTCTGGCGCCTGCGCCATAGGCGCTACGCTACGTTGACAACGCTCTGCAACGCAAATGCTATTGTTTAGATTTTCCAAAAAACCCACAACTTGTATTAATGTGCCATATTATTATAATTGTGTTGCGTGGAATGTATTTATGCAACAGTGAACCTATTAATTATGAATTTGAAGTAAAAAGGACAAGCCTTTAAAATGCTGCCTCATATTTGGTGATGTCAAAACCAAAGGCGCTTCTTGACCGCTCAGGCCGCGTTTCGTGGCAGCGATTGCTGATATTCGTGTGCACGGCGCCAAACTACCAGGGAGAACAAAGCTTTTGCACCCGCGAATTTGGTGATTTATCTGTATTTGGCGCGCCGGCGCCTGGGCGGCGGGCGGCCAGGCAGCTGTGGTATTCATTTCAGAGGGACAAGCTACCCCCCAGGGACACGTTCACGACAAACTTGGCTGTTCGTCCATTTTTATTCTTAGAAAAAATACTGGCAGGACACTCTATTCGTCTGCCCATCGCCGCACATACTGGTTAAGGACAGCAACAGAGAAGAAAGAAATGAACAAAGATGGTGAAATGTCAGATTATTCTCATCAGAGGAAAAAAAGAATAGAACAATAAAAGAGACCAGGCAAACGGAACGAGCTTATACTGTGCAGATGATTTCCTATATCTACAGCCCATATGCCACGCGGTAGGCCTGGCTGCTCACCACGTTCTAAAGGATACGCAGCGCGTCTACTGCATCTCAGAGATCGGAGTATAGTATACCTTGAATCCATTAAAGTCAGCGGCACCTCAGGTTTCAATATCAGTTCCAGATGAGATCAAACTTCGCTCGTCAGTGGCTCCGAAATTTTGGCCGATAGTTAAAAATAAAGGGTAGAGTTGTATAGTGGCCAGCAGATATAACGCTGATCAGAACCTAACTTACAATTAGCTCAGAACAACCAATCTGAACAATCCATCTGGATTTATAATAGATTTGTCTGTAAGAATGAGAACGCCAAACAGGCTGCTGTGCTTGTAGATCAGCTGATCAGCAATCATTGTAGTCGCATCCAAAGTGCTACTACGACTACGAATAGAAGCAGAAAGTGTGGCGCATCTCGAGAAGGTAGGAAGGGTCCCTGGTTTTCCTTTTTAAATTATAGCAACACTGAGAAGATAAAAGTAATGGACAGCTGAGACAGTTGAGCAATCATTTGAATCTCACCTGGACAACATCTTTATGCACCAACATTGCGTAAGCCAATGGAAATTGATGTTCCTCTTCAGAAAGCGTCGCAGAAAACTCGAACAACCGTCCTATAGTATCGCAACTAAAACATTTATTCGCATGTTACGTATTCTACTATATTCCTTTGCTCCGTTTAGTCCTTTTAGCTTGCATTTTTCTGCATATCTTCCAGTTTCCCATTTCCAGTATAAGTACCCAAGGAAGCACAGCTAGCCTCTACCATATTCAGTGGATGTGGGCCAATTATAGGAAAAGGTCACGACGAGTACAGGTGTTGTACTGGTGTGCTTCAGCTCCAAAGTAATCATGTGGAAATATGATTCCACCAATGCTTTTACCTTCCTACGTCCTCGAGGGCTTAGCATTCCATAGGTAGAGCTTTGCGAAGACTTACTCCAGCATGGAACATCATTTAATAAAAAAGAACAGCTACTGTCGCTTTCGCCGCGGACGCTGAGGCATATCAGAAGGGGTGGGAGGAGGGGGGGGGGAGGGGGAGCTGGTTTGACACAGCGTTAGCCTGTTCTCCACCACGTGTCGAACCGGGCAGGCGGCAGTTGGTGGAAAACGGTATGGCGCTCCACCAAACCCAACCTTCCTGACAGGCCGTAGTGTCTGCGGCGAAAACGACTGTACATATGCTCCGGTCCACACTAGGGGTGGAATCTGAGGTATTGAAAACAAACGAGAGGTAAAAAAGTTGGCGGTTGATGGAATCAGGTCTCCCTATCATTTCTGCATGTAGTAGAACCACAATAATACAATAACATCTAGCAATGCCGAGGTTTACGGTGAGAGGACTTGAGCTTCAGGGGTATGATTTTCCAATAACCGTTCAAAACCAACCGCACCAGAGCTTATGGTTACTCTCCACACCCTCCATCATCCATCGATTGATTGAAAGGGAAATCTACATACAAACACACAGCCGTTTCAGACGGTCGCCCATCGTTTAAAGTACAGTTTTGTGCTGCGATTGGTTTTCGATTTTTGCATTGTCATTCTCATTTTTCATACTCTCCAAGATGATTAAGATAGCACACAAGCATCAGCTGGAAGGCAGTTTTGGCAGAGCAATCACCCCTAATTCAATAAGCAATACTTGACGAAGGGACGTAGAGCTTAGATTGCAAGAAAGCTGTAAGCCGCGAGAAAAAATATAGCGCGGCAATTTGTTAAAAAAATGTTTACACGTTGAATGGAATTAATTGAATCAAGCGCTTCCCTGTAAAATTCTGAGAGCTTGTTGTGTTTAATACTGAGTAATACCAATAGAAGACAGGTCACCTTGGTTGATCTGAAAAATTCGTATACCTATTGGCACTTTCCAATATAGCGTGCTCTATTCCAGTGCCATTGAACTGCAACTGTTTCGCTTTCGTCGCTTCATTTTCGTCTCCATCGAATAGTTTGGTGCAATCGATGTCATTCAGCACCAGAGATACAAGAGAACTGGAAAGCGGTCATACCAGCAGTAATTTAATACGTCCACGATTTCTACTGGATGTGAAATGCGTGGCTCAGCTCGAAGAACGTGTAGGCCAACAATAAATTCGGGGTTGGATTGGTACGGTGAAGGTTAAAAAAAGGTCATACGCTATAAATTAGTTCCCAGCTCACTCATTATTGTAGAAAGATGTACTAACTGGTATATCTCACCTGTCATCTGAATGAATGTCTATTCGAACTCTCGTACAGGTTTGAAATATAAAATAGACCAGCAAAAGTATTAGTAGAGTAGTTTCAAGTGACGATGATCTCATGAACAGTTGAGCCCTCAAAATGGCCCTCAAAATTAGATCTCACACGCATTTGCAATACTGCAGCAGCTCGTGCTGGAAATGTGTAGCGACAGCCGGTTGGAGGGGTAGTCGAGGTTAGTCACACTCAGGCGCCTATTGCCATATGTCTGCTCAGCCATAAGAAGTTGCACTGCAGTATGTTTGAAAAAACAACGAGTGGCTTTCTTCAGGTTTTGAGTGGGCATAGTGAAAGGATGACTCGCCGTTGATCAACCCCTTTGTGAGATGCGGCACACACTTCCACTCAGAATCATAGTGGCTTATTGAAGGCAGTGTGGTGTATACAAAGGTTTGCGCGGACAGCCGATTTACAAGTCAGTGCTCTTATCCTCGCGGACCAATCTGGTTAGCATTCTACTGTCCCGAAAGCATGACGGCTGGTTGGCGCGGGCGGGAGTCGACCTGAGATTTGAACTCTGGACGCGCGACTGGTAAGCACGTCACTTGTCACTAAACCATTTCAGCCTCGCTAAAGGCATAAGGCACGATAATTTGATACTCGGTCTGAAATGGTAGCAGGAATGCTATATAGTGAGAAATATAGCGAAAAAGCGAAGAGAAACCGACACAATAACATGCGAAAAGAGCTTTTTCATTACGCTGACTCAAAAAGCAAGCAACTGGACGGAGTGTACTTCGTTCTCCGCAATCTTGCTCA